TCTTGCCAATCCTTGTATTGATGAAAACAACTATACTTCTACAATATGTAGTGAAGTGAGATATTTTCCACTCAGGTGTTGAGTGAGGCTTTGTTAATTTTAAAATCCGATCTATATCCTCCACTTTGAGATGATGCAAATTCTCCTCTATCATAATTGTGGGTAGTAAGTATGTTTTTCCACTTGGACAATGGCAATGACGTCTTATCTCTTAAAATTAATCAACACACTTGTGTTTTAAATTTTTTAAAGATACACTACGTGTACCATGATGCATATTTCACGGAAGGTGGTACGTAGGCACTAAAGGTTCGCAACCGTGGCGGGTGCAAAAAAATCTAAAAAAATACTTCTTTTCTCATATCCACAATCTATTATATATATACAACATTTTATAGCCAAAACATACAGATTTACAAAGAGGTTCCTGCGGAGTACAGTAGATGTTTAGGGTGTCAATACCTTCCCTTTGCATAACTAACCCCCTTACCTAGATTATATCCCCCTCTTTTTGGGTTATTCGCTCTTTTCCCATTCCTTTGGAAACAATAAAGCACGGTGCCAATTTTTATTTTGATATGTGCGAGTTAAGTCAATCCAATGGCTTAGTCTCAATATTTCTACGGCTACAAACAACAATAAACTTATCCAAATACTAATGGAAATCCTCTTCGCGTACTCCATAAATACACCAGGTTCATTAGTCACACCGAAAGACATCACAAAATACTCATAATAAGTAGTCTTCTAAATATCTTCAGCCTTCACACGAATCTGATGATACCCAGACCTCAAATCTATTTTACTGAACACACTTGCACCAACCAAATGATCCATCAAATAATCAATCCTTTAAGTGTACACTTATTCTTGATAGTCACCTTTTTAAGTTGTCTATAACCCACACATAACCTCATAGTACCTTCTTTCTACTTAACCAACAAAACTAGTGCACCCCACGGTGACATACTAGGACAAATGAATATCTTCTCAAGCAAATCCTCAAGTTGACTCTTCAATTCTTTCAATACAGATATTGACATCTGATATGGAGCCATTCATACCAGACTAGTTCCAGGAATTAAGTCGATCGTAAAATCCACTTCATGATCTGGCGGTAAATCACTTACATCTTCAGGAAATACCTCAGGAAAATGACGAACTATTGTTAATTCACCAATCGTTTGTTTCCCACTAATATCCAATGTCGCTATAAAATCCAATAACACAACACCATCTCGTATAGACTCATTCACTTTACATACTATTGTCGTATCTAGGATTTTCATCAAAGCATGAAAGATGCAGAAAGAAGAATTGCCATCAATGTTATTTATCCCAAGAGAAAGAAAGGAAACACTGAGTAAACCTAAAGGAAGGAAAATAACATGGTCATTTCAACCAAGATAAAAGGGTAAGGAAGTCGATTATGAAAGGGGAAGGTATTAGCACCCGTCACATCTGTGGTACTCCACAGGATCCACTTAAGTTTATTCTAATCAAGGGTGTATAAAATCTAAGTCTAAAGCTTAATTATAAAAGGGAATGCATGCAAAGTATATACAAAAAGAAAGTTTTTATTAGTTGTGCCCGCCGCGGTTCTGAACCTTTGGGCCTACGTATCACCTTTCATGCAATAGGGGATTAGAGCACTCGTAGTTTACCTAAAAAGGTGTTTTGATTATTTGTGTGTTTTTCAGGAACAATGCTAGAGAAGCATTTCCTTTTTGAAAAGGTTTTAAAATAAAGGCCAAATGACAAAAGAATTTTGAATTGGATGGTGTTTTTGTAGGTAAGATGATAAATCGATCCCACTGTTAGGACACTTATCATCCCTATACTTTGTGAAAACAGAGTTTGAGATTTGAGTCACACCATAGACTTATGAATTAAAGAAGGATCAGTCAGGGTCTGTACCCTCTCATCCTTCCCATTACTAAAGACTTTGGAGGCGTGGCTCTCATCATTTATTTATTAAGTGTTTGAAGCTTTGAAAGAAAAAGTTTTAGTTTTAATATGAAAGAAAAAAATAAAGACTAAACAAAAGGGGATCTCAATCCTATAAGTTGCCATGCTTATGAACCTAAATTTTGGATGAGAGGGAGATCTATTTAATGTTGTCATGCATGGATTCCTAACTTAAGGTCTATTTAGTTCAAACTTAGAGAAGAATGAACCAAATATCCTATGGGGAGTATATATAAGGAGGAGCAAGAAATCACACTTAAATAAGATAATGAAAGCAAGCAAACATCACATAAGGCATATAAACAAGGTACCGAGAAAATACCTACTTAGATAAGCAAGTAAAGATAGGAGAAGAGATGATAAAACATCACACAAAGATGACAATACATCAAGTATCAAAAGAAGAATAATTACGGTAACATACCAAAATAAAATATGACAAAACATCAACAAAGAAATCACATAGGTAAGCCAATAAGAGAGGATATGATAAAACATCACACAAAGATGATAACACATTTAGTATCAAAGATGGGAGGAGATAGATAGTAAAACCCAAAGCACACATATATTAAGATGAAAAAACATCAAGTATCAAAGAAAAGAGAAGGATGATAAAACATCATTAAATAAACAAGTCAATGTGGTAAAACATATAAGAGATGGAGATCTTACAAACAAACTTGAAGAAGTGACGAAAGGAAAGTAAGATAGAATGATAAGTAATCAAAGAGGCATGGCATAAAAGCACATCAAGTTATAACATAATTTCTGGTCCTATCATTTTAAACACCTTAGACTATCCTAAACATATCAACATGAGTCAAGAAGTAGATGAAATTACCTAAATAGGGAAGTAGAACTGCAAGTGTGCATTTAGAAGACAAAACTTCAATACATGTCAAAAGCATCAATCAAAATGAGAGACAAGAGTTGGATACCTAAGTCTAAACATGCTTCAAGACATCACAAATATCACCTAGATATTACATGTTAACAAACATCATCTTAAACAAACAAGTAGGCATAGTAGAAAGAGATGAAGTATAGATAAGTGGCAAGATAAGACTTGTTTCTCAAGTAAGTGACACACCATGGATAGGAAATGTTATGGCATCAAGAGTATATAAAGAAGATGTGGATACATCCCTAAGGATCATGCTTCAAGGGTATGGATGTAGGAACCATAAAATAGAACAATTAGGCTAGTACAGTTACTAGTGAAGACTTAGGAGTTAAGTTCCTATTATATCATGTTATAAGTAAGTGAAGTGAAGTGAAAGGGATGGGTGAGTGTATAATTAAGAAGTGAACACTTAAAAGACTCATTTTTATCACATAAACACACTTGAGAAAGATTCACATCAAAGTCATACAAACAAAGGATCACAATCAACCCTAAGTGGACATAAGTCCTCATACATTGCTAACAAGAAAACAAGTTAAAGGAGAATGAATGAGGAAGATATATAGAGACAAACATTGGAATGTTATACATTTGAAACAAAGGTTAGTCCAAGATTTGGTCAATACCACACCCTAACATACTCCTAAAGGCAAATGAAGCACAAGAAAGAGATAAAAGAAGAGGTAACATGATTAGAGGGTGTAAAAGCACATAGGTCAGTAGCAAATGACCTCTAAAATCATACCTTTTAACATCACAAGAAAAGAGATAAAGTTGCATACATGGCACACAAAGGAAGTGACCAAAGGGGACAAACAAGTATGTTCAAATTAAATAAGTAAAGATCAAATGATAAAAGCATAATTGAAGATTTATAGATTGTGTGACTTTTATAATAAGTTAACTCAAGATGAGGTTCAAGAGCAACAAAGAATAATATGAAACTTCATGTACAAACAAAGTCACATAACTTCATGAACAACATCATTCATGATGAATGATACTTGTCTTAAATCAAACAATATTAATGAAGATCTGTCATACCCCAAATTTGCCCGCGTTAGTGTTACTGTCGAATTTATTTTCGAACATGAGATTTACAGAGTATAAAATTCCTTTGATTTAAATTATATTAATATTCTGAGGTTTTTCTATAAAAAATTCGCTTTCAAGTCTGTTTGAAAATATAATAATAATTATTTGTATTGTTAAAAATAGAAAATATAATAATTATTTGTATTTTTAAATAGAAAATAATCGTTCGCCTTCATATACTTTTATTTGGCTTTTTACTTTCTAATGAGTAATATAGCATAGTTGGTAAGGGAGAAAGACTGGCAAGCAGAAGGTAACAGGTTCAAATCTCACTTTGGCTATTTTTGCTTCATAACTTATCAAAAAGAGGGGGAGATTTTCACCTGACAAATCACAAATTTCCTATCAACAACTTCACAATCATTAGAAATTCAATTTTTTTGTTTTGGTTTATTACAAGGTTATTACAAGGTTTCTAAACAGAAACCTTAAAACCATGTTGTTTTCTATATCAGACAATAATCCACAAATGGTCAAGGATTTTCGTATGAGGCCCCTCACCCATTTTAATTTCAATTTTATTGTTTTAATTTTAACTTGTTTTGTTATCTAAAAACTAAATGATGATATTCCCAAATAGTTTATTTAATATTAACAATTTTTCCAAACACAGGAAGAGGCGAATTTCATACACTACACAAACATCTATGTACAAACCCAGTTTCTAAACACTAATTTTTTGCACACAATTTTCAATTGTTACACAAATTTCATTATAAACTACCTTTTGTAGCTATATTTTTAGTCTCTAACCTTAACTCTTTTTTTTAAAAAAAACTCACTTTCAACACAACATTAACCTTAGCCACATCCATCACCATCTTCACTGCAACACCATGCTAAAACTCTGTTTTCCTTTTTTTTCTTCTAAACCATATACATAATTCTCACGGAAAATTAACAACAACATCTATAAATACTCAATCATAAAAAACTCAAACAAAAAACCTAAGAAATTTGTTATGTTGCTATCTCTATTTATTTAATGTGCAGAAAAAGAAGAACAAAAAGAATTCAATTCGCAAGCTTTCTAAAGAAGAACAATCGTCACAGATCTGCGAGAAGCCCCTATTTGAACACCTTCTGACATCACCGCTTCAGCTTCCAGCAGGCTGTTCATGGTGAGATCCTGAAACCCTCTGCCCTCCAACACAAACGGAGCTACTCTGCTAGACAGACCCCACCATCCACCTTGCAACATCCATTCACGGTGACACATCCGACCTCCGCTCAGATCGCGAGCTATCGCTCTTCTCCGCCATCGTTCATTTCTTCCAAAGGTTTTTTTCCTTTCTTTTTTATAGCTTTTAAATGCTTGTGATTGTGAACCATGTTGTTTTAATTGATTAGGGATGGGATGGGACCATTAGAAAAGAAGTTATGGAGAACTGAGTGAGGAAAAGTTCACAAACGAGTGAGAGAAGAGAGTTACAGATCCCAATTTAACCTTACTATATTTCAATTACTTCATTTGTTTTTTTAAATTAAACTAAAAACCATATGCCACGTGTCAATCCGTGGCTGGTTCATAGTTTAAATAAAAAAAAGAAAGAAAGAAAGATAGTGGGAGGTAGGAAAAGGGCACTGCCCGTGACCTGTTCTTGATTTGTTAGATTTTATTGATTTAACCATGTCCCTTGTTTTAGAATTAGGTTTCATTTGACTTTAGGTAGGATTTTTTTTTTGACTTTTATTCGATTTAGTTTTATTTGAAAAAATATTGTTATATGATACCATAAGAATTCTAACTTACACTTAACTTGGATAATATATGTCTTACGTAATAATAAACTTTCTCATCATTTTTCTCTTCATATTTATATAAAATAAGTGTTCTATTTTTAAATGATAAATGAAATATCTTACATAAGACAAATGTCTTATTTTTAATAATACAGAAAATGAAACTTTTGTAAATCAAATTGATTAACATTTACAAAAAATCAAAATGCACGTAATTCATTAAAGATGCCACCCGCGTGCAACACGTCGTCACGTGGTGAGGAAGACTATATCAGACTTCCTCTGCGTCTTTCATAACGAGCAGCACGAATTCAATATCTGACCGCGTGGTGAGGAGACTATATCAAATTCCCCACCCACGTCTTAATCAAATAAATACCAAAATAGCTAACTAATTACAAAATATTTTTTTCCTACTAACATAATCAAAGTTCAAGATTATTTTCGAAAAAGGATTAAGAAGAATTATTTCAAATTAACTGCGAATTGCGTCTACAATCACTCACTTTTCAAAACCCAAACAAGGTTCAAGGATAAATTTGAAAGCAATTATACGCGATCCTATAAAAAACACCAACCCATACGAACTACGAATTATAACTCTGATTCCTCATAAGAGGATACGTAGGCACGCGATCTAAAATTGTGGCGAGTCTTACTAATTAAAACTTAAAACCCTATTAACCACAAACCTAAACCTAGAGGCTAATATCCTTGTGATCAAGGTAGATGAAAGGTGCATAACACCTTCCTTTCGTCTAATTGAATCCAAAACCTAGAATCTATGTCCACGAGTTAGGGTTTTCTGTTAGTTTCCCTTCCCTAGGATAAAAACTAATAGTGGCGACTCTTGATTTAAAAACCAGTTGCTACAAGATCAAGTAAATATAAAATGATAACTTATATATAATAGGGTAATGGTTAATCCCTCACAAGGTATCAATCATGAACTTAAAACTTTAAGAGATGTTAACAATATAGCATACTCAAAGGTCATGATGAATTGGCAAAGTGTAGTCCCTAGATGCACACAAGCACTATGACCTAAATAGGTCAAAGTTAATTTTCTTAAATGTAATGGGCAGTAGCCAACATCAAGATACATTAATGATTCATAGCATAAAAGCTCATGAGGAGATCACTAACTAATCATGCTCAAAACACAAGTAAGAAAGAAAATGTAGCTTCTAATGTGAAACCATGTTTGTTAGAAAATGAGTGCTTAACCAAAAGGATCATAAAATCATAGAGAATTAAGATGAGAAGAGATGTTAAGATCAAAACATAAGCACAAAGATGTTGGACCCATGGTCCTTTAGAGGACTCAAAAACCATCACACACAAACTAGGTCAAAACAAGAATGTGGCTCCTAACTTGTCATCATGATGAATTGACAATGAAATGTAAATCAAAGAACAAAAGGAGCTATGAATGAAATAATTTAATACCTTAGAGATCAGAAGAAAACTCAAACTCTTCCAACCAATTTGGATCAATGGTATTCAAGTATAAGTAAAGTATCCTTCTAAACCATGACCACAAAAGATGAACAAATAACATTAAACAAAGGGGAAATGATTGAGTACTTGAATGGTTCATAAATATGAACTCGTTCCCATAACATGTGATGAGAATAAGTTAGGGAACTTGGTTACTTATAGGTTGCACAGGTGCATACCTTGTATCCCAAGTTACAAAGCACAAATAAGCATCAATTCACAATTTAATTCAAACAAAAATATGAACAAGCCTTCTAAATTTCAAAACAAATTGTTATTAGGTACTAAATACTTAAATAAATCATTAAAAAATACCCAGGGTTCCTGAATTTGAAAGGAAAGGTGAGAATCAAATTCAAATGTCCAAACTAGTTGAGAAAAACCCTAAACTACAGACCCTAAACCAAATAATTGGTGAAAAATAGAAAACCAAAGGGGGAAATTAAACAGAAATAAGTCTCATGACCCTAACACATTCAAGAATCCTAAACATATTTATTATTATTTTTAGAAGTAAAAGAAAATGGGGAATTAAATCAATCTTTAAGCCTAAGCAAGAAAATCCCTAAAAAGGGACATTAAACTTCCACAATTTTAAAATCAAGGAAAAATTAAGAATTAAAGCAGTAAGGAACACCAAACATATTTTTGTAGAATTTTATGATTTAGGGAAGAATTAAAATAAAATCAAAACATATTATGAACAAATTTTTTAAATGAATGATACATTTAATCAATCAATTTAATAAAGGTACCACGAAATTTATAAAAACAAAATAAAAAATAAGGTGATAAAATAGACTCATTTAAATATTTGATGTAATTTTTTTGTAATTTTTGAATTAATAAAACTATAAATATAAAATTAAACAAAATGATGAAAATGAAATATCAAAAAAAAAAAAACTAAAAGAGAAAAATATAATAAAACTCAGTGTGGCTCGGTCAACAAGTCAGCCTACTAAACCGACCAATCACAATTTGTCTTCTACCTCATGCCATGTTAAAATGTGATAATAACAAACCCTAAGCACTGTTTCATTTATCAAACTTCAAGTCATCGTATCTATTTCATTTCTTAACAAAAATATAAAATACAAACACCAAAGTTGTAGATCTCGTGGCATAGAACATCATAACACCAATTAAAACATCAAACAAACACTGTGGAAAAAATCAAGCTTAAAGTCACAAATTTAACTATTTTTTTCAAAAATTTCAAACACATGAACATGCTCAGATACTCATAGCAACACATCTCATAACTAATATGTGGCTCAACTACATGATTGTGAACATGTTTCTAAATAATAAAAACCCAAATATGATGGAGATTAAAGTTGGAGAATACTTACCTCAAGTGGAAAATAAATCCACGGATCTCTGGTTTACGAAGCTTTAGATACCCAAAGATATTTCTCTATTATCTTCAGTGAGCTTGAAATAAGTAAGCGGAGAAAGCTGGATCAAGAGGAAAGAGTTGCTCGAAGAAACAAAACTTTAAGAATAGAAGGAAATTTTAGATCTGGCTCTTGCTCAATGGAGAGTGTGTATTTTCAAATAGAGAGAATGAAGAGCTTATAATGAGCGAGAATGTGAGGGTAGTGAGGTCTTTGTGCTCATGAGACCGTTAGAGGACAGTCTTGACAATTCTGTCAAATTGAGTGAGAAAGGTGTGACGATTGTGTTTCATGTGTGAATGGGATGATATTTGGTGTGTTTTGGCAGGTAATTAATGTCATGAGAATGATGTGAGAAGGTAGTGAGAAGAATCATCACATCAGAGGAGAATTGGTGAATTGGAATTTTTGACAAAAATGGCAAGAATTGCATAATTGTGTGCCTGGCTCTTGGGATATTTGTTTGGCAAATTTTTGAAAGAAAAGTGAGTGATATGTGTGTAAATGAGGAGTGCACATTTCTTGCAAAAAATTCCCTTAATTGTGCACAAAAATCTTATTTTGGCCAAAACTTGCCTGCCTGCACAACCATGAACTCAATCTTAGCCAAATCTCAAAATCTCATTCATCTCTGGATCATTTGCCACGATTTTGATCATTTTGGAAAGCTTGGGTAACATAGAACAAGCTTAATGTTTAAGGTTCATTAAAATGGAGCTTGCAAGCCTTTCAAAATGAAGCACGAAAAATGATTGAAATTTCCTGGCTAGGCATCATTCGTGTGTGCGTCTCACCATGCTGGCAACTTGCCATCACCAATCACCAAAAACTCATCTCAGTATCTCTCTCTATAATGCATTAAATGAAACAATATTTGAAGCAAAGTTGAAGAAGAGGATTTGGTCTTCAACTCTCATGTTGAGGAGTTTTTGAATTGAGTCCATATAGATCCTTAAAACTGGCCATGAAGAATTCACATTTTTATGTACAAGACTTGAAAATTCACTAAGTGTCAAGAATGTTCATAACTTCCAAGTTCCATAAATTCTTCTCCTTTCATTTTTTGTACTCAAGCTCACAAGGACAAAGTTAAAGAAATTTTCTTCCTCTTTCCATGGATATAAAGCTTGCACAAATCAGATAAAAATGAGTGAAATATGATTTTTCAATGAGTGATTATTGAACATGCCAAATCTTATAACTTAGAAAATTTTTCTAAGTTATAAGGATAACTTCTTTGACAAGTTAACCCTAATGTCAATATTTCTCTGGATTATCTTTCACCAATGGTCATGTTATATAAAAATATGAGTTTTGACTTTCTTGTTAACCAAAAGTCCACTTGGTCAACCTTTGACTTTTTGTTGACTTTTCTTAAATTGACTGTTTTACCCCCAATTGACGAATTGAATATATTCCAATCAAAATTGATACTCAAATATTCAATTATAGGTTCTTAGAAACATTTTGAGAAGCATAGAATCAAGTGTTGCTCAAAGAATTAGAGATATCTTATTTTTAGCTCAAACCCTAATTTTGGTTGGTTGTGTTAAAAGATAAAATCCCAATTTTAAAA